TTTGCACTCATAAATAGCACACAGACCAGAAACACTGCCTTGATCCTCAAGTTCAGCTTTCAACACAGTTTTAAGAGGGGGAGGTAGATCATTTTGCTCTCCTCCACAACAGAATATCCAGTGAGACAACAGAGATTTCCCTAAACACAATATTCAACACAAAACACTGGCTTGGGTCAGATAACATTTTCTTAAAACTCCATTCAATAAGCATCTTGTTCCACTCTATCCATGTGGTACACAAAATTGCTTTACTGGCAGATAAAAACAAAAGGCCATAATTTAAGAGCATATTTTACCAGAGGCCTAAGCTCGCATCCGTCTTGTCAAAAGAAAAAAGAGCCAGTTACAAGAAAAGCCTTCAATTTTACTTACACAGACCACAGTTTCTAAGCTAGGCATGCTCAGTTAGACAATTATAGACTTCACTGAAAACAAGACCATCTTAAAAACAAGGTTTTTTTGTTTGTTTGTTTGTTACTCTTGGGGCAGATATCTGCTCTTTTCAGAAGTTCATGGTCACCTTATTATTTTGGAAATATTGGGGGCTTCAGACTGGCACTTACCCACAGCCCAGTCTTCCCCAGCACATTCACGTGACTTTCACTTTGACAGCTGAGTCTTTGCAATCTTACCATAACAGACACCTCAATATTTCGTACTTACCCATCATTCCTTTATTCAGCTGCTAATAAAGAGACCTTCTTTGTTATTAGAAATACTGTCTCATAACATCACTTCATCCTTGACAACTATGTGCAAATTCCTGTTGTTCTAGACATAAAATGAAGTCCAGTTCTCCCATGCCTCATATTTCCCTCTGCCTTGCAGCTGGAGTGAAGCCTACAGTCCCAGTGACAACACCCATCCTACCTCTGGGCCACTACAGAGCTACTCTCAGCAGGTGATGTTATTACTATTAGCAGATGCTACTCTTGCATTTAAAGCATGGTCGCAGCTAACCTCTTCAGACCTATTTATATGATTCAAGACAACAAATGCTTGATTAGTATTTAAAAAAAAAAAAAAGACAAGTTTACATGCATAAAAATGCACAGTGCTGCACCCAACATCCTAAGCCAAATTGAACTTTTTTTTTAATAAGTGAAACAAAGTTAAAATTCGCAAACTCTTTTCTTCCCTTAGAAATGTTAGTTACAAGAATTTAGGTCTACTGAAACAGACTATTATGTAATTCTCTTAATCCTGCAGTATCTTAAAATATCTTACTGTACTATCACACCAAGTGCAGGCACACAGTGGGCATCAGATGTTTTTCTTTCTGAAAAATCAAGGAGTGGTGAGATGTTCCTTTTTATATAATCTCTCTTCTCCTGAAACAAGCTGTTCTTTTTCTTGCATTGTAGAAAAATAAATGTATTTGTTTCATTCAAATTCCTATATATCTCTTGCTTTTCAAGATGACTATAAAAGCATATTTCCAAACAAATGTATCCTGCAACTTAAATGAGATACATATCTATGTGTGAGCGCACACAAAGTTCAGGTGAGGACTAATGGAAGAAATAAAACTTAGGTCACCTTCTTTTTAATTACATCAGTGGCTTTCCTGCAGCTTCAGAGGCTTATAGATTTTTTAAAAAATTAGTAATCCTGATCAAGTGCAGCCATATGGTAACACAGTTCTTGAAAAATACATTTTTCAAAGGAGCAAGAAAGCTTCCTTCAGCTTTTCTGAATATGCACCTCATCTCAACTCCTTGCATTGCTCCAATTCCACATCAAGATAACTGTGCACCTCTTCTTAAGAGCTATCTAGATCATGAAAACACAGTATATACATAGATGTGTACTGCAACTAACAACTACTTCATGCACAGAGTAATTACAGGGTTTAACTATCAAGATGTGATTTCTCAGTCACATTTTTGTTGCTGGTTTTTGCTTTAAACTCTTATTCTATAATTTGTGTTGCAATGGGTAGTTCCTCCAGCCTCAGGTCAGAGTAATCTTCCCAGCAGCTAAGTTGCTCCTGTCTCCCTTTCAAGAGCGCATAATATTAATTATTCCTTAGCAGAGCAGAAGTTGCAATGCCAGAGGGAAAGCAAAATAGGCTTTGAGAGCAGGGCAGTGCTTTCAGTATTTTACAGGCTGCTCACAGGCTAGCTGTGAGCTAGCACAGGTATGCTACATTTTGGCAGGTTACATGCCTGAGCCTCCATACTTCAGAAATGCTGCTCTTGCTGAACTTAGTTCCATACTGAGCTGCATAAAACAGCACTGGACAGTATCCCACTCCTTTATGTCTTAGTCATGCAATTATTTCCAGGTTTATATTTGTATGAAACTACACTTCAATTTACATACACTTAACAATATAGATGATAGTACCCTGTAAATACAGCATTCGATCACTAGTAATAATACCATTCTATGAAGTTCCCATGTGGCTTAAATAACAACTGGCTATGCCCTTTATTTCACTAATTAATCTTAGATTCAGACTGTCAAGAATTCTTGAAATTCAGCAAGAGTCGGTTCGCAGTGAGCCAAGGCTAACAATGAGAACACTGAGCACTGCCTTCCTCATTACACTCTTCCTCATTAGACTTCCTCCAACATTCTTCACAAATATGTTAGAAGTGCAAGTAGTCTTTGCAGCATCACAAGAAAAATGAACACCTACATTTAAAGGCCAGTTAAACGTACAGTGAAGCTTCTCTCAGTCCAGGCCAATGTACAGAAGTAACTTAATCTATAGATAAATCCTATACTCTTATTAATGGGCAATTCAATCTCTCAGGCTTGAAGAGATTAAATAGTTGTATTAATACAGAAAATAATGTAGGCATAAATCCACCGGGTTTACAGCTACCCTTGAAAAAAGTGTTCGTAAAACCTGTGTCAGTTCTAAGTTAGCTGTTATAATTTTGGCCATCTGTAAGACTGAGTGCAAGCATAAAGAAAAGTAGCTTGATAGACAGGTTACATGAAAAACCAAAGACTATTTATTTTTATCCATCGCTGTGTCAGATTAAAGACTCCTCAGTAAACATCTACCACTTTAGATTACTCATACCATTTCCATCTCAGAAAAAGAAAAAAGAAAACAAGTCAAATGACTTTTAAGCTATTCTGAACTTTTTAAATGCTGAAACCCCTCAAAAATAACCACTGAAATTGCTCATTGATTTTCCAAGGATGTTCTCACAACAAATTATACATACCCCCAATATTAAGAACAATCTTTCAAGGTTTGTGGATAATACAAGAATTTGAAGCAGTGAAAATAAATGACAGTACAAGCATCTTTAACAGAACTTCAATCATTTAAGTGATTGCTCCAACAGATGGCAAAAGCACTTCAGCACACACAATTGCAAAATAATTTGCCTGGAAGCAAGCAACAAAGACAAAGAAAGTGTACTAAGTGGGACAATTATTCAGCACAGTGATTAGGAAAAGGATTTGGGTGCTGAAAGTAGAAAAAGAAATCACTTAAACTATTTGCCTAAGGAAAGTAGTAAGAACAAAGACAAAAGTATTTACTGGCAGTATCACATTCCAAATACGTTATCCTTTATATTCAAAACGAGGTGCTACTCAGCTCGCACCTACCATTCTCTGGTTCAAAAAAAGGAAAGCTGATGTTAGTGTAACAGGAAATATTCTCCCTGCTTTCTTGAAAGAAGTAGTTCTGTTCACTCCCACCTCACTGTCACATGAATTTTCATGAGCATGTAATCCCTGAGCTGGTATCTGCGTTAAACCTTTTTCCTTTAGGTCAGTTTGCAGCTATGCAAGCACTAGAACTATCACAGATGTTGTTACAGGGTTTGAAATAGAAACATTTATTTCTAAAGTCACCAAAAGTGACCAGACAAGAAGGAGGGTTAACATCACTCAACAGTATTTCACGTTATAGTAGTTCACTTGGTACACAGTGTCATGGCACACTGTCCACACTCTCTGAAGTTTAAAGGCATCATGAAATTATGATGCTTTCCATCCCAATCAAGTATTACGCTTTACTGAACTTGAAGCCTGAGAATCAGTAGGACATTCTACAGGCAAAGATTACGCAGCTTAGAAGAGACTAAACCATTAATTGCCTGGTGCCTCTCCTAACAACGCTGCTTTGGGGATACTGGGTACAACACATCTCACCTACCTTGATTTCAATTTACTTTGACATCATTGATTCATATTTCGATTTGTAGGGCCATTGACTCTCTGTTATCACATTTGTTTCATGCTGTTGTACTTCTAACAGACATACAGCAATTTTTAATTTAGAGCATCACCTTCTATCTCCTGAAGTCAATGCCACAATTTCAAAGATAGTTATAATACTGCCCTCTTTAGAAGAGTAAAAATTAGGCTACGTTCCAACAACTGTTTTTACAGAAGTTCTTTTCCACATAAGGAATCAAAGTAAGATGCAAAATCCGGTGAGCTGGCACACAAATTACTGTTTCAAACTTTAGATAAAACACACCTTTAAAACCAACAGCAACTGAAATCCTCTGAAGATCATAACCATATCAGATGAGGATTTGAGAAGGCCATTCACACTGCCTTGTCTACTCAGTAAAGATTTCAACAGGTAAATATAAAATTTTAAAACATTTTCAATTTAATACTCACTTTAGCATTTAAGTGCTTCTGCATATTACCTTGATAAGGCTGACTGAAATACCACCTCTCTGCATTCATTTATCCATTTCTCTATTAAGGATGAACAGGATCTCAGTTTGCTATGAAAGGCTGTCTATGATAAGAAACCTGGGTCTAAGTCTCTGTAGTATAATTGACTAAAATTAAATATATACTGCTCTAGATAAGATATCTTGTAGATTAAGTTTTACAGTCTTAAACTGATCACATACAAATATTCACACAAAAAGTGCAATAAAGCAGTCATTCATGGTGCAAAACACGAAAAAAGTTGGAATTCTTCAAGCTGACATAAAAGAGACATGGATTAAAATATTATCATTTAAAACAAACTGGCTTAAACGTAAGAAAATGAGGCTTACCAACAACAGTGGCTAAAAACAAAGAGGGACTTGATGGTAATGCAAGCAAATTTCCAGCATCCTTATTCATCTAGCACAAAGCATGACTAATCTTGAAGGCCAGCAGATCCTGCAACAGAACCCCAGAGAAGTACTTTAGTTAAAGTACTGTGAAGAGTATATTGGATTTGAAAAATGAGAGACGCAAAACGGAGTTTGAATTCATTACGTGCAGATTCCTCCATGCTGCAGCATATCTGTCATTCTCAGTGTAACAATCACTTGAGGTCATTTCCTTTTTGTTATTGAAGTGATTCAATGTCAGTTACAAGCCACGGTGTAGCTGGGCACAACTGAAGGTAATGGGCAAGCAGCTAAAGCTTAATCGATCACCTTTTAGCTCTTGTAAATTAGAGGAAATGAACAACACCTGCTCAATACACATCAAGGCAGAACAGAAAGTCACCAACACAGATGTATTCTTTTACATCTACCAGTTACAACTTGGACCACAGAAAGGAAATCAAATGTTTTCTTCCTTCAAGTGGTTAAAGGTTTTCTATAGACGCTGAAATTTCGATTGAGAACTTTGTTATTATTTATTCCCTAGTATTTCTGGGGAGTCTTGTCAGAAACGTTTCTCCAGCCTGCTTTAACTTACTGATAGATTGTCACTGATGTGACAGTTCTTCTTTACAGTGAGGTGACAGAGCACTGCAACAGGCTGCTCAGGGAGGTGGTGGAGTCTCCTTCTCTGGAGATGTTCAAGACCTGCCTGGATGCCTACCTGTGCGACCTGCTATAGGGAACCTGCTTTGGCAGGGGGGTTGGACTCGATGATCTCTGGAGGTCCCTTCCAACCCCTACGATTCTGCGATTCTGTGTGGGGTGAACATTACTTGGTTTGGCTTTGTTTTTAAAATCTAGATTTGTTTTTGAGCACCTATACTCACGAATTCTTTAGACAGCTTTGTTATCTTCCTTAACTTTGGCAAACTCTTCCTTTTGCAAGCAACAACAACGAAACCCTCTTTCCCGTTAAAACAAATAAAGGAAAAAAAAGTACTTAAATTACAGAACTGAATTTTCAAGGGACCCTAACAACATTATGCTAATGCTTATTGTTATTAATGACGAAAGAAATCAAGCAGCATATTTTTGAACCAGTATACCAATTTAAGCATGCAATCTCATTAGAGCTAAAAGACTGAAAAATTGAGATGAAAGTGAAGGCTGAATTCTAATGCATTCTTATTAAATTCTAACTAACAACCTTAGAATATTTTCCCATCCCTTTCGTTAAGTACTACTTAAAACATTCACTGCAGTTCTCTCCATTCGAGCCTGAGTTTTTAGAGGAAATTCTCTGCCTCTCCTTCAGTAACAGTGATCATCTATCATTTACTATCTTACCAACATGTTTTGTCACTTTTGTGCCCATTTCAGATACTTGGCAATTAGATGTCTATTAACTGCAGTTGTGGTTTACTTTCCTTCTTCAGCACAGCTCTAAAGCTGAAGTATGAACTGAGAAACCCATTCAGCTGTTGTTTTTAAATGCATGTCCATTTTCAAGTAGTTGCAATGTTTTGCAGTCTGACAGTGCAGCTGTTTAATTAAAACCAGATGCAGCTCAAGACCACTGCATTCTCTAAAAATCTGCAAGGCTTTTTAAATATTTTGAACACATGTTGCCCAAAGGAAGCATCTATATATCAACATATAGACTAGTTCTTACTGGATGATTGTATGAATGTAGGTGGAGTTATGACAGATTTGAACTTTAAAAAAAACAAAGACCATTACAGTGATTTAACCTGCAGCTGAGCCAAATAAGCACATGATTCAGTTCTACCAAAAGGCTGTAAGCTGCAGCAAAATGGGGCCAGCACTCAGCAATGACAGGAACCTCTCTGCTTGGTCTCACAACAAGCCAAATTGTAAAACAAATCAGCTTTTTGATAGATTCACATATTTAAAACTATGAGCTCTGTTTTCTCTCTATTTCCACAAGACATTCACTTTTGTTCTCCAAGCATCTGGAACTTCAGATGATCTTAGAGGCCCAAGGATTCAACTACACACAGAACTGATTTTTCTAAGCCCCTCTATTGCATTCATATGACCAACTTATTTTACCATTTACTTCTGCAGTTAGGTCAAACACTGAGCATTTTTAGTCTTTTGTTTTAAAATGAAAAAAGAAAAATTCTCCTAGACCGTTATGCAACCTGATGGGTAGCTGAGCTGATCAGTATCACCCAAAACAACAGAGGGATTCAATGCTCCATGCCGCAGTTTTAAATTACTACCAGTTTTCAGCAGCTCTGCTGTAAAAAAAAACAGAGATCAGCAGAAAGCTTCTGTGCATTCCACCTCCAAGGTGCTCGTGCATGTTGCTCACAACACTAAAGGGGAGAATTTAACGAGGAGTTTTTGGGTAGTGCATTGAGGCTTTATCCACTGTCTGACAGTTGTTGCTCAATAATTAAAAGGCAAGAATTGATCTTTATCACATTTTACCTGTAGAAACTTGCTGATGTGGTTCCTGTGCATTTTACTTCACACCCTAATCCTTTTTCGAAGCTTAAAATTTTAAAACTCCCCATGATATTGAAATAGTGAAAGCTGAGGGGATTCGTCTTTGGCTTTTTCTTTTGAAGTTCCCCAGTATGTTTCTTTTCTCCCAGTAAAGGAATTGCATCACTCCCAACTTTCCCATTAAAATACTGAGGGAAGAGCACGAAAAATACTTCATGGGCCCCTCCCTAGCACAATAGCTGACTATCAAGGTTCTTTTAAGAATGATGGAAAGCCATCTTAACTTCGTTTCCTCTGTTTTATGGTAAATTTTGCTGTTAACACTGGTAACACTTCATTAATTTATAGTTAGCATTTTTATAGTTAGCATATAGTTAGCATATCCTCCAGAAAATTAAAGCCAAATTGGGACACAATATTACATAAAGTCGGTATTGTGATACTCCCTAAAACCTCCAGACATTCCTGGTTCCAACTCATTTTTGTGTTGTCAATACTTGTGACCTTGTGCAAAATAAAATTCAGGCATTGACATATGTCAAACCTCAGCTTAACTGACCTATTTGAATTTAAATTAGGAAGAGAATGCCTTTGAGGAGAAATACATCAATACAATTCGGTAGACAAACGGCCACAGTGCCTTTCTGGAGTAAATGCACTCATCAGAGAACTGAACCAGAGTAGTTTGCCCCTCAGTGATTTCTGCTTAGAATTAACAATTCAGTTTCAAACTCCCTAATGCCACAAATAAATAAATTCTTCTCTTAATCAGTCACTTTCTAAAGCAGAAATGTTAATGCATCACTTTTTTTTTTTCTCCCCTTTCTGTATGCTTCCTGTTTGTAAAAAGTTTTCCATTTTCACATTAGGACAAGTAGAGCACCCCTGTTCCAGCTAGCACTGAGGTCACCTGTATATCTTCTCTGACAGCACAACTCACAGGCGAAGGTCAAATGCAGATGGAAAGCTCAGGAACAATAAATAATCCCTTGCAATCCAATTAGAGGGAAAAAGGGAAAAAAAAACCCACGTAAATTATTAACTAACTGCAACATTCCACTCAAGTAGCAGATACAGCTGAGTATATAAATCAACACACAGCAAATAAACACAGAAAATAAATACCATAAGAAAGATAAATTTTTCTCTAAAATGTAATCAAAACCCACTGCAAACACAGATAAAGGGATGGTTTTCACCAGTTTGCTTTCTTCTTCCCCCCCCACACCCCCAGTCAATTGAGAAAGGCTTTCAAATTTTCTTCCTAATTTGGGATGAAACTTTTTTACTCATTAAAATGTTAACTGTACTTGTAAATTAAGAAAGCAACTTGCTTCCCAGGTGTAAAAGAAATGACTAGCTGTGACATACCGAGATATGCTTCAGGTTAAACAACCAGACTAAAGAAAAAAAAAAAGCTGGATCAAGCTTTCCTCCGCTTTGGTCAAAAAGAAACATATGCTGAGGGTTACCAAAATGACATAGCATTACCAGAAGATGTGAACTCTTACTTCGGTACTTGAAAAATAAGTCAGATTTATATTCAGTATTAGACTTGCTCTCATAACAGAAAGGAATGAAACAGAAATACTCAAAAAAGACACTAGAGACTTCCCAAAGAAGCATAATGAAGTTTGGTGTCTTACTGCAACTGATGGATGAAATGAGAACTGCATGGTCAATGAAGAGAAAAACAACCACTCAAATTCTTACACTTCTCTCTTTGGAAACTATCCTGGATGCTTTAGTAGATTTCAAAATGTTCAGAGTAGAAGTTGCATTTCAGTTGTAACGTAATTAAAAAGAACATTATTCATCATTAATATTTGCTTAAGTCACATAAAATTGCAGTCTTGAAAAATAACAAATAAAAAATTTGTGTTCAAAATCAACATTTCTGCCCCCAACTGAAAACAAAAACAAAAACATTTATGATTGCCAAATTCAATCTCGTGTTAACATTTCAGTTGATACCCGTGTAAGATATTATTCTGTTAACGTCTGTGTCCCAAAGCTGGCTGGGGACACAGGTGGACTTGTTCAAGTCCCGAGCAAGGATTGTGAAATCCTTTGTCTGAAGGACACAGATGAACAAGTGCAGGCAAGTCCTGGGCAAAGGTTGTGAGATCTTTTGTCTGGGGGACGCAGATGGACAAGGCCAGGGGCAAGGAGCGAGATGAGCTGCAGCTAAATAGCTGTGAAGTGCTCCTTTGTGTGGACTTACCTCAGGATGATGGCCATCTCAGGGGGTACTCAATGACTCTTGCTCAAGGCCCGTCCTTGTCACGTAGGCAGGAGAACAAGGAGGATAAAAGAGGAACTGAAACCACGAGGACAGGTTTCTGACAACAGATTCCTCAAGAAGAACGGAGGTTTTCTGGCAGCAGATTCCTCCTGAAGAACAAGAGGGATTCCTGACGATTGAGGTGATTCCTGCATACTGTCGAACTCTCCTGAGCCTGCTGCCTGACCGCTGTTGCTGCTTCAAGAATTGGCTCCTTGACTTCCTCGTCTACCTGCTTGCTGTCCAAGGCGGCCACGCTGCTGCTCCCCGTCTTCTGCTGCGTCTGCCTCGGACCTTCAAACGCCGTGCAACGGGACGCTGCTGGATCCTGCTGGTGACTCTCCCCGCTTTACGCAACTCCTGCTTCTTTTCCATCTTTTCTATCGCCCTCCTTCCCTTCCCCGTCTCCCTGATTAGGTTTGGTAATAAACTGGATGGAACAACATATGAACCGTTGTTTCTTAATCTCACGCCAGGTATACAGATCTTAAAAGAACCTCATCTCCCTCCTATGAATTGGAGAAT